TATTATTATTAGTTCTGTTCAAAGGACTCCCTTTAGTATCTCTTGTAAGGTTGGTCTGGTTTTAACAAATTCCCTTAATTTCTGCTTATCTGGAAATATCCTAATTTCACCATCATATTTGAGGGGCATTTTTGCCAGGTATATAATCCTTGGTTGGAAATTTTTCTCTTTTAGGGTTTTATATATACCATCCCATTGCCTGTCATTTGCATGGTTTCTACTGATAAATCAGAGCTTAGTCTTATTGGTTGCCCCTTGTAAGTAACTTTTTGTTTTTCCCATGCTGCTTCCAGGATTCTTTCTTTGTCTTTGATTTTGGTGAGTTTAATGATGATATGTCTTGGTGATATTCTTTTGGGTCTATCCTGTGTGGGGTTCATTGGACATAATGGATGGATATATTCTCATCTTTCATCATATTAGGGAAATTCTCTTCCAACAACTCTTGGACAATCTTGTCAGTGGTTTTCCTTTTCTCTTCCTATTCTGGAATTTTGATTAAACATAGGTTATTCCTTCTGATGGTATCCCACATGAATTTTAGGCATTCATCATTTTTTTTTAATCTTTTTCCCAATTGATCCCTTTCCAAAGAAGTATTGAGGTATTTGTCTTCAATCTCACTAATTCTGTTTTCCATTGATTCAACTGTACTCTTTTGCCCTTTCAGTGTGTTACCTATTTCTGAAAATTTAGTATTAAGCTTCTAGATTTCTATCAATAGATTTTGTATCATTTCTGGTTTTTCATTTACTTTGTCATTTTGTTCTTGTATTGCTTTCTGAAATGGTTCTATGGTTTTATCTGTGTTTTCCTTAATTTTGCCAGTGTTTTACTTGACCTGTCTCTCAATCCTTTGAAGGTACCTAAATATAATTAATTTTTTTGAATTCCTTATCAGGGAGTTCTGATGCTGCTGTTTCTTCAGGGATGTGTTCTGGGTCTATAGCCTGCTCTCTAGTTTCTACTGCTTTATCTTGCTTCTTTATGTAGACAGTGGTGGTCTGTTGTCTCTGAGACATTGTGATGTTGTATTTTGATCTCTGCTAACTGTGATTGAAGAGCAGTTAAGGGTGAGTCAGGCTCTTCTTGGTGGTTGTTTATTGTTGGCCAGTTGATGGAGAGGGAAGTGCCTGACATACAGAAGGGTGCTCAGTAAATATTGTAGAAGGAAGGAAGGGATGCCAGGTGAGGGTAGTGATGGAGGAAATAAGGTAGGAAAAATAAAAAAGGGACCAAGGGATGGTGAAGAGGAAGGAAGAAAGAAAGAGGGAAGGGATCAAGGTAAGGAAGGAAGTGGGAGAGAGGGAAGAAAGAAGGAATTATGGAAGTGGGAAAGGAAATCAGCAAAGACCACCCAAAGGAGGACAAGCATATTTATTTACAGTTTGTATAGCAAGGGAGTCAGCCATCATTCCTTGCATTTAGCTAAGACTCAAAGGCAGGCAGGGTAGTGGAAAAGCTTTATAAAGTGGTGGGAAAAGGAAAGGTCAAGAGAGCTTATCTGGCTTTCTCTGGTGCATCTTAAAATTGAAAGTGAGGGGGAAAAAAAAAAAGGAAAAGATAAAGATTAGGGAAGCTACCACCTATTGACAAAGCCTCAATTTTTTGGTTGATTTCTAAAGAGGTTATGGTTTGCTTTCCTGAACTGGTTGCTAGAGATTATGGAGCCAAGTTCTATTTTTATATACACTCTGTTGTTGTTGTTGTTGTTGTTGTTGTTGTTGTTGTTATGTGCCATCGAGCAGGACACAACTCATAGCGACCCCTCCTTGGGTTTCTGAGGCAGTATCACTACAGAAGTAGATTGCCCCATCTTCCTTCTGAGGAGTGGCTGGTGGGTTTAAACCCACCAACCACTCCTCAGAAGGAAGATGGGGCAATATACTTCCCTAGAGGTACTGCCACAGAAACCCAAGGAGTGGTCACTATGAGTCAAATCGACTCAACAGCAGTGTTTGGTTTTTGTTTTGTTTTGTTCACTGGATAATATGGAGAACTAGAGAAGATACCTGTGCCTCTGCCTTCCTCCCATCTCTACTCAGAGGTGGGGACACAACTGACTTTCTCTGGACCCTGGTTGTCCAGTCTTCAGGTCTTCTACTCTAGTATGTCTCCAAAGCTTTCTTTGTTGCTGTTACTCTTTCTGGGATGGTGGAGCCCTACAATCTTTGCTTTTTATTTGAAGAAACATGTTGAGTCAAGGGGTTTTGCCCAAGCTATCACCAGGCTGATCTTGCTGTGCTTGCAACCCAGGTGCCCAGTCCCAGAAGCTGTCTGCCCTGGTGGAAAAGGATGAGCTCTGCTCAGTTTTTCCAGGACCTTCCCTTTGTCCCACAGTCTTATGCAAACTGGGACTGGTCAACTGAACAATCTTACTTGTGTCCACACTGACCTTGCCTTGGAGAAAGGAGGAGGGCAGGGCAGTCTCCAGCCAGATGGCTGCACAAGGAAGCAGAACTGCAGTCACTTGCTGTGCAGTGGTAGTGATGCAGCTGTTGAGGGAATGATGTGAAGGAATATTCAACACCCAGATTCCTCCCAGTTTGGCATGAAGGTACAGCTCTCATAGGGTGGGTCAGAGAAGCCAGTTGGGTGGGCATGTTTCCAGGTGCACATGAAGCCAAAAAAAAAAAAAAGCCAAATGCACTGACGTTAGTCAAATCCAGTCTGGTGCTAGCCTGGGCAAAACCCCTTGACTCTGAAGAACGCACCTTAATTTCCCCCACTGTAAAATGGGGATAATAAACTATTTTTTAAGATTACATAAGAGAATTACATAGGTGAAACTATGTAAAGGGCTCAGAATAGGGTCACAGGTGGGAGTACCACTAAGTATTAGCTATTTTCCTTGTTATCAGGACTGAAGAGAGCACTGTGAACACTGACCTCAGAGCCCTGTGTGCCAGACAAACATTCAGTGTCTCCCTAGGATCTGGCTGAGTGTACACCTTCACGCTGCCATTCCACCCTGTCCATTTCTGTTCCTCACTGTCTCTGAGTTGGAAGCAATGGGTTACACATTGCCCCCTCCCCCATACAAACATTCTGACCTGCCTGCTTTCTCTCCTTGCACACATCACAGGAGTACCTGATAAAGGTGGGGAACCTGAGCCGCGGGGCTGTGCAGATGATTGGGGACCTGATGAATGCAGACGCTGGCTATTATCAAAGTTTCATAGAGACCCTGCGCTTTGTCATCTCCTTAAGTGTGGAGCCCAGGTGGGAATGGATGGCAAGGGGGAGAAAGAATGGGCTTGGGTTGGTCAGTTACTAACCAGAGTAGCTGTGGTTGTGGTTGTTGTTGTTGTTGTTGTTATGTGTCGTCGAGTCGGACCTGACTCATAGTGACCCCTCCTTGGGTTTCCGAGGCAGTATCACTACGGAAGTAGATTGCCCAACCTTCCTTGCAAGGAGTGGCTGGTGGGTTTGAACTGCCAGCCTTCTGGTTAGCAGTCAAGTGCCTTAGGCACTATGCTACCAGAGCTCCTAGAGCAGCGGTGGGACTACATAAATCAGGTGAGGATCCCAAAAGAAAGGAGAGGACACTAGAAGGCAGAGGTTTAAACACCAGTGTGTATCACAATCACCCAGGGGATTATTAAACACAGATTGCTAGGCCCAACCCCAGCATTTCTAATTCAAAGATCTGGGGTGGGGCCTGAGAATTAACTTTTTTAAAACATTCTGGAGGATGCTACTGCTGCCTGTCTGTGAATCCTACTTTGAGAACCATTAGCTAACCCATCAGAAAGCAGTAGATCTTTGCTCTGAACCTTGCCTGTTCTGTTACATAAACTGTGGCTGCAGCTCTGCTTCACGGGTTATTGCAGGGGAGGCTTTGCTGTCTTTCAGCCCAGGAACATATACCAGAAGCTCTCACCCTGGAACCCCAGCCACTAAACCACTGCCCACTGGCCACACGTTCTGGGCCAACAGAAATATAATACAACAGGATATACACTCCCTTGGTGTTAATAAAAACTACTCGAACAGGCTACATTTAAGAGAAGGCAAATGAAGGCTGGCAGCCCTGAGAACCTTAGGAGCAGATTTATGTAGTTACTTGCTTGGTCCTTTTCCCTTGTAGTATCCACTTGACTTCCACCCAATATTTTTATTCAGGGTAAAACAAGTTGCCATAGAGTCAACTCTGACTCATGGTGAACCCCACATTTGTCAGAGTGGAACTGTGCTTCATAGGGTTTCCAATGGGTGATTTTTTTCAGAAGTAGATTGCCAGGTCTTTCTTCTGAGGGATTTCTGGGTTGACTGGAACCACCTTTAGATAGCAGCCAAGTGTACCGCAACAGCTTGCACCACCCAAGGACTCCTTAATCAGGGTAAATCAATGTAAATATAAACCAAGGATTTCCTTGAAGGGACAATGAAGGGAAGGAACAATCCTAAGACAGATAGGAGGGCAATCATAATAGAACTAAGGCTGTATCCATGCTGCTAGGCTATCTCCAAGGGCATTATGTAAAAGAAGTGGAGAACGCAGTCAGAACCTAGAGTCACTGTCTCCCCCAGGAAGTGGGTATCCTAGGGCATAACATGGAGGTGTCCACCCACAGAGGCAAGAAAGAAGTGATTGAGAGCCAGCCCACAGCCTGAGCTTGAACTCTCCAGCAAGGGGCTGTGTGACTGTTAGTCACCACAGAGTCAATGCAACACGTGTGCCGAGTAGAATTGGGCTCCATATGGTTTTCAAGTCTGTGACCTTTTGGAAGCCAATCAACACTCTTTTCTTTCAAGGTGCTTCTGGGTGGCTTTGAACCACCAACCATTTGGCCAGTAGTTAAGCATTTAATCATTCATACCATTCAGCGACTCCTTACAATAGGCTGTACCTGATCAAAAAAACACACACACACACACACAGCTGCCCTAGAGTTGATTCCAACTTATGGTGACCCATGCATGTCAGAGCAGAACTGTGTCCCCATAGGGTTTTCAATGGCTAATGTTTTGGAAGTAGATTGGCAGACGTTTCTTCCAAGGCAGCTCTGGGTGAACTCAAACCTCCAACCTTCCTGTTAGCAGTCAAGTGTGTCTGTTTGCACCACCCAGGGTCTCCTAGAGAATACCATTTTCTGATTTGTCAGCCCAAAGGGGGTGCCTTTCTGTAGTTTATTGTAGCCAAGGCCACTTTGCTTGGTGAGCCCCCCTGCCAAGTGTTTTACCTCTCTAGCCACAAGGGCCTAAATAAATCCATTAGAGGACCAGTCCTCCATCCAGTCCAAATATCCTACCCCCAAATGTCCTTGTCTGTTAACTGTTTCCCTCAACCTCCTTTGCCTGCTCCTCAGATTTGACGAAATCATTGGGGGTTTTGACCAGCTCCCCAAGGCCCTACATGACAATCTCTTGCCTGGAACGGTAAAGCTCCACTCACCAGCAGAAGAGGTAGAGACATCTGGTGACCAGGTCCATGTCACCTACCGGACATCTGACCCCCTACGACCCAGAGAGCGTCTGACTGCAGATTATGTGATTGTGACCAGCACAGCCAAGGCTGCCCAGCTCCTCCGTTTCCGGCCACCCCTCTCCCTTGATAAGGAAGATGCACTGCGTTCTGTCCACTACAGCAGAGCCACCAAAGTGATCTTGGCCTGCACACAGCGTTTCTGGGAAAGAGATGGCATCTTTGGCTGCAAGTCCATCACGGACCGGCCTTCCCGCTTCATATACTACCCAAATCATGTCTTCCCCAATGGCACAGGTGTCATCCTGGCCTCCTATACCCTGGATGATGACTCCTCATTCTTCACTGCCATGAATCATGCCCAGATAGAGGATATCATCCTGGACGACTTGGCCGCTGTCCATGACCGCCCCAAGGAGGAGCTCAGGGCCCTGTGCCCCTACTCCACAGTCAAGCACTGGAGCCAGGACCCCTATTCCATGGGAGGCTTTGTCTTCTTCACTCCCTACCAGTATGTGGACTATGCCCAGGACCTCTGCCGGCCTGAAGGACGGGTGTATTTTGCTGGTGAACACACATCTTTGCCCCATGGCTGGATTGACACCGCCATTAAATCAGGGCTCAGAGTTGCACAGAGTATCCAAGAAGCTGTGGACTTGGGTTTGGCAAAGAGCCCTAAAGTCCCAAAACAGCCTCGCTCCAAAAGTGAGTTATAGGCAACTTTAGAACACCCAGGAAGTAGAATGATTCCAATCATCTTGGCCCACCAGGAAAATATCAAAAACCCAGTGTTTCACTTTATTTCCAACTTTACCTAAAGATGCTAGTCCAAGAGTTGTCATCTAAGGCTAAGAAACAGAACGACTCTAATAATAGTCATAAAATCTATTATACAAATGATCTTGGCTTTCTAAGCAATGTTTCAAAGCTATCCATAACAACAGCCTGTGACATAGCAATTAAAACAATAAAGTATTCATTGAATTTAATGCTGTCATTAAGTGCTTTATCTTCATTCTGTGAGACACCCAAATAATTAGAGTTGAGTGTTGAGGTCTGCCTTCCAAGGGCCTCATCTGGGGTCTTTACTGTTCTACTTTTCCTCTAATCTGAGTTCAGGTGTAACTCCTGTGGTAGTTAAATTTATATGCCCACTTGGCTGGGCCTCGTTGAGTGGCTGGGAAGCTGGATGTAGTACTCCCCATGATGAGACTGGTAATCAACTCCATGGTGGAATCTACTGTGAGCAGCTGAGTAGCTGCCTTAGGGAATGTGGTCTGCTTCCTGTATATGAGCAGAAGCCTTGGGGAATGGTCTCTAGTTTATGACACCTTGAACCCTACATGTAGCCATGTCATTGTTCAGCAGCCTGCCATGCTCTGCTGACCTTGGAACTTACAATGGACTTGATTTAATGGCCTGCCATGTGATTTGATAATATCAGGATTGTGCCTTTTTACTTGTCAACCTTGGCCTTGGCACCCTTAAGAGCCAGCAGCTGTCCGAGTGAAGAAAAGCCTCTAGCTTCAGTAGGCCAGGAGCTGGAGGCAGAGCTGAAGCGCAAAGCTAAGGGGCTTTCACCGAGCCCCTAGAGCCTGGCACTTTGAACTTGGACTTAAAGCCTCCAAACTGTAAGAGAATAAACTCCTGTTTCTTAAGGCCATCCCATTTGTGGTATATTCTTGTCAGAGAAGCGCTAGGTAACCAGAACAACCCCCCTCCCCTTCTCCACTCTTCCACCTCCTGTGATTCTGGATTTTAAGATAAGTTAAACTTAAGTACTTCAGTGGAGGCATCTGTGTGACAGCAGCATGCTACATGCTACTCCATGTCATTACCTATTTTGATGCTATCGACTCTATTTTACAGATAAGAAAGGCTGATTTTCAAAAGAAAAACAAGCTCACTGCAATATTCAAAGAGGTTAAATAACTTGCCTAAGGTCATAAATGCTGGCGACGAATGGTCAAAACCTAAACTATCTAACTCCAGATCCTTCTTGCTTCTTCTTATTCTTTTGTGTGTGTTCCTGAAATAATTGGTAATTAACTTTGGAGACATTCAACAATAAATATATTGAATGCACAGGGCTAAGGCTGCAATGGCTTGCCTTCAAGCCTGTCAATTCTGCTGGGTCTTCCTTGCCTGGCAGCCTTGAAGGATTTATCTTCTTTAGAAGCAGACAGATACAGAGACAGCTGAAAAGACAGATGGATAAATTCAAAGAGGCACATCATTTGGCAGTGACCTGGCCTGAATAAGGGCCTTTAAAACTAAAACCAAACCAAACTCACTGCCATCAAGTCGATTCTGACTCATAGGGACCTTCATTGGGTTTCTAAGGCTAGTAATCTTTACAGAAGTATATTGCCCCATCTTCCTTCCATGGAGCACCCAGTGGGTTTGAACCACTGAACTTCTGGTTAGCAGCCAAATGCCTTATCCACTATGCCACCAGAGTTCCTTAAGTGGCCGCTTGTTGTTGTTGTTATGTGCCAGCGAGTCGGCCCCGACTCACGGCAACCCTTCCTTGGCTTTCCAAGGCAGTATCACTACAGAAGTAGATTGCCCAACCTTCCTTCCAAGGAGTGGCTGGTGGATTTGAACCACCAGCTTTCTGATTAGCAGTCAAATGTCTTAGGCACTATGCTAATGGTGTTAGGACCTAAGAATTAACCTAAAATTCAGCCCTGCTTGCCAAGGGCTGCATGGAGGACTACACTGGTGGCTGATGACTAAAAAGGGAAACAGCAAAGGAGACAAACTGAGATGTGGACTTCTGGCTGTCCAGAGGACATGGCCATTTTGAATGTTTACAAGTGGTTCAACCATTTTGAATATTTAAAGTGACAGCATTCTTTCAGATTTCAGGGACCTAAGAATAGGCTCCACTTGCCGAGGACAGCACAGATATACTAGAGGCTCAGGACTGGAAATGTGTGATATTTCCCTTGTTAATCTTATACCCCACACCCTCTTGGTGAACAGAAGTGTGGCCATCCCTCACCCCCACCCACCTTCTGGGCCAGCAGGAATTTCATTCCAATCTATGTGCTCTGACGTAGCCTGGGTACCAGCCCCACCACTCACCATCCCCCACCCCAGCAGATTTGTCTTTTGTTTCTTTTGTTTTGCTTGTTTTAAAATTATTCTTTTCTTTTCTTCTTCCTTTTTAGTTTTATTCTTTCTTCTTCCCTTCCCAGGTTCTAGTTTTCAGCTTTTTTTCTCATCCCTTTTCCTGGTTCATATTTTTTTCTTTCTTGTGGTTCTGCCCATCCCTTGTTTTTATTTTTGTATTTTTACCAATTTGTATTTTTCCTTCATTATCCTCTTACTCTACCTCTTTTCTCTTATGCCTTCCTCCCCATATATTGCAGGTGTTTTTTCTCTTTTTCTATTCATATTACTTCTGTCTTTTTAAAGTATTTCTTTAAATATTTCTTCTCATTTATTGCCTTTGCTCTTTTTTGGTGGTGGTTGTTGTTTTTCCTTTTCTTTTTGGTGACTGTTCCTGTGTGTTTATGCAATGTGTGTTTTTTTTTCTTCTTGCTTTTACTTTTTTGATGGTTTTTTGATAGTTGTTTTTGTCTGAGTGGGAGACAGCAACTGTGCCCATAATAACCCCACCACACTCTCACCCACACTCCTTGCAACCCCACCTACTAAGTGAAGGTCACCACTTGTTTCTGCACCAACTGGCCAATGACATACAACCACCAATATGAGCCTGATTCACTCTTAACTACTCTTCACAAACAGTTAACAGAGATCTGTGAAGCCACTCTCATTCTCTATCACACTCACCAGGAGACAGGTGGTGAGTGCATAAATGCTGCCAACTGGTGAACAGAGGAGCACAGTACCCTGCTTACTCAAATACATCTAAAGAAAACAAAAATCTTGGGTAAATCACTCCAACATACAATCACCAATTAAATATAACACAATTAAATGTCACAATGTCTCAGTGACAACAAACCATCACAGTCCACACAAAGAAGCAAGACAACACAGCAGAAACAAGGGACCAGGATATAGACCCAGAACACATCCCTGAGGAAGAAGCACCATTGGAATTCCCTGATAAATAATTCAAAAGAATTATATTTAGATACTTTCAATGGATTGAGAGACAGATCAAAGAAAACACTGACAAAATTAAGAAAAACACAGACAAAACCCTAGAACAATTTTGGAAGGAAATAATAGAATAAAATGACAAAATAAATGAAAAATTAGAAATACAAAATCTACAGATAGAAATCCCGAAGATCAATACTAAATTTTCAGAAATAGATAACACATTGAAAGGGCAAAGGAGTACAATCAAATCAATGGAAGACAGAATTAGTGAGATTGAAGACAAATGCCTGAATACTTTTTTGGAAATGGATCAACCAGAAAAAAAGATTAGAACAAAATGAAGAAAGCCTAAAGTTCATGTGGGATACCATCAAGAGGAATAACCTATGTGTAATCAGAATTCCAGAACAGGAAGAGAAAAATGAAACCACTATGAAAACTGTCCAAGATCTGTTGGAAGAGAATTCCCCTGATATGATGGACAAGAATGCATTCATTCAGGAAGTTCAAGGAACCCCAAACAGAATATCCCCCAAAAAAATCACCAAGACACATCATAATCAAACTCACCAAAACCAAAGACAAAGAAAGAATCCTGAAAGCAGAATGCAAAAATGAAAAGGTACCTACAAGGGGCAACCAGTAAGACTAAGCTCAGATTTCTCAGCAGAAATCATGCAGGTGAGAAGACAATGAGATGGTATATATAAAACCCTGAAAGAAAAAATTTCCATACAAGCATTATATACCTGGCAAAATTGTCCCTCAAATATGATGATGAAATTAGGACATTTCCAGATAAGCAGAAATTAAGGGAATTTGTTAAAACCAGACCAGTCTTACAAGAGATACTAAAGGGAGTCCTTTGAACAGAGAACCAATAATAGCAAACAACAACCGACCATTAATACACATGATGACATAACACAGAAACCAACACAAGCTATGTACATATCCAAAGTAAAATAAGCTTACAAGATTGTAAACAGGGAACCAGAGACCTCAATTGGCTAATGAAGACAACTACAAACCAAAAAGAGGGAAAAAACTATGTAGTTATAGAAATTCTAAAAGTTGAGGAAGTCAAGAGAGTTGCAAGATAGAATGGACTGTTCTCAACTCGGGGAGAAAATTATATATCACAGGGTAACATCAAAGAAAAATGATAAACCTTCACATAACAATAAAAAAGAGGACAAGCACAAAAATTTAGCAAATACTAAAACAATAGCAACAAAGGAAATAACACAATTCATAAACATAATGAGGTCAGCACAGAAAATTGTATGAAGCAAAGAAATCAGCATCACCACAAAAAAAAATAAATAACAAAATGACAGCAACAAATTCATACTTGTTGATAATTACAGTGAATTTCAATGGATTAAATGCACCACTTGAGATGGAAAGTTGCAGACTGGATAAGAAAACAAAGTTCATCAATATGCTGTCTACAAGAGACACACCTTAGAGACAAAGACAAAAAGAGACTAAAAATCAAAGGTTGGAAAAAGATATATCAACCAAATGGCAAACAAAAAAAGAGCAGGAGTGGCAATACTGATTTCTGATAAAACTGACTTTAAGACAAAAAACACCATAAGTGACAAGGAAGGGCATTATATAATGATAA